CAGGAGGTTCCACTTAAACATGAGGAAGAACTTCTTCCCAGTAAGGGTAACAGAACACTGGAACAGGCTTCCCAGAGAGGTTGTGGAGTCCCCTTCTATGGAGATGTTCAAAACCCGCCTGGACACATTCTTGTGTGATCTGATCTAGGTGGTCCTGCTCCGGCAGGGGGATTGGACTTGATGATCGTTTGATGAGGTCCCTTCCAATCCCTGACATTCTGGGATTCTTTCTGGAAGCGGAATTAGTGGGACTACGTGGGGCATCTGGGGTAACCGTGCTCCTTTTCCCCTCAGTGCGGACCGCAGCGTTGGCGTGCAGCCCAGAGGTGAAATCAATACCGTGGTTTTTATCCTGCGTGGCGCTGAGCAGAGTCCCGCTGCAGTTCTACGGAGCAAGGTGGCTGCGGAGACGCTCGGTCCCTCCTTGTCTCGCACCCCCCCTTACCCAGCTCGCGGAGCGCAGCTCTGCTCCTTCCTGCCAGGCGCTGCCAGGACAGTGGAGCTGCAGGGATGGTGGTTGATGTGACTGGTGTCACCAAGCGGGACAGAGCTGAAGGGAGAGTTGTCCATGGTGGGAAGAGATGAAAAAGCGTTCAGTCGCAAACTGGGAAAGTGGGATGCCCCGATCCCCTCGGGACAAGCTCGGGGGTGGAGGAGAGCGGGGGTGGTGTCTCACCTGCAGAGACTGAGTGGGGCTGTTGTGCTGGGGTGGCTGCTTTGGCCATGGGCTGCTCAGGGGTGTCAGAGACGTTTTGAAAGCTGCAGCGGGGGACGGGAGGGGTCCTGGGCTTAGGGTGGCCGTGGGTGCCCTGGCCCTGAGCCTAGCCTGCGCCTCAGGAATCTTTTTATTTCCCCAATGACGTTTAAATGGGAATTATCAAGAGCCCTTGAAAGGCGCGTGGCAGTCCTGTGGTAGGTGGGCACCCATGCAGCGGGGTGAGGGCTGCTCTCGGGTGTGCTGCGTGGTTCCCCTGCTCTGCTCCCAGCCATCTCTCCACCTTCCCCAAGCCCCCCCTCCAAAACCAGCTCCCTCCCCGCGGTGGCTCTGTGCCCTTGGAGCTCTTGTGCTTGACCCTGGGTGTGGGAAGGGGCTCGTGCCCCATGCAGCACCCACGGATCTGCCCAGCCCTGTGTGCTTTGCCCCCTTCCATGGCCAGGACCCTGCTGGGATGAGGATGGCGCTTGTCAAAGCACGGGCATGTCGCTGTGTCTCGGTGCAGAAATTTCATGTTACAAAAGACAATAATGCTTCTCCCGAGCACTTGGAGGTAGTGGAGGCAGCGGGGGCGGCACCCCGGGGGGGGCATCCCTGCTTCCACTGGCAGGTGCTGAGAGCCGGAGTGTGAGGTCCTGCTGGAAGGGTGTTCTGCCCTGCGTGCGCCTCGCAGGCGTGAGCGGGCAATTGCTGCTGCTGGCTTTTGATTTCAGTTCTCATCCCCCTCTTTTGGCGCTGGCGCTATGATGACCTTGTCCTGTAAAGAAGGGTGAAGGGGAATCGGTTACGGGAAGCGTAGGCTGTGCCTGGTTTGCAATACAAGGACTTCTTGCAGGCTGCAGAGCGGGGAACCCAGGTGCTGGCCCACTGCGACCCCAGCAGAGGAGCCAAACCCCCAGCACACCCAGGGAGCTCCACGTCCTCTTTCGGGGTCAGTCCTGGGCTCGTGGCTCTGCTGGGGCCTATCTGGCACCAAACTCGTCCAAGGAAGCTGCAGCTTAAGCTCCTCTCACAGTTTTAAGTTGCTGGCTTGGGGAGGATGAGCAATGTTTGCATGACCCGCTGCCGGCAGGGCTCTGCGGAGGAGGAGCGCAGCCTCAGCTCTTGCTGGGGCACGTGCCTGATGGCAGCGCCAGCGTTTCTAGGTCAGTCCCACAGCTCGGGGTCACTGGTTCAGCGGCAGCCAGATAAGAGGCAGAGCCCTTTGCACCTCCCTGACGTGTTGGCAGAGTGCGGGCTCAGGGGGAGCCTGCTGGGATTTGCTGAGCTTTTAGGAAAATGCTGTTTTGATGCTGTTGGGAGCAAGTGGGATCCCTTCACCTCTGCCCTTACATCTCGAAAAGTGATGTTGTCGAAGCCCTGGGGAACGTTGCTCTCTGCTGGCGTCCTGCTCACCAGCCCTCGCCGCTTCAGCCAGTACCAGCCTCCAGCAGCCACCAGCACCAGGACAACGATGGCCAGGAGAAGACTGAGCACCACCTGTGCCACGAAGCTGCTGGAGGAGTTCGCTGCGGAGAGAGACGATGCTGCCAGGCTTGACCCACCGCCCAGGAGAGCTGGCTCCAGCCCCATCCCCAGCACCCTGAGTTCACAGCCAGAACCAGCCCCTCACCTTCCGATGACGCCTCCAGGCTGGAACGGCAGCCCCCCCCGGCACTGTACGTGATGTCGTCCAGTGCCACCGTCCCCTCCATCGGCCATCTCTGCGTGGCAATCTCAAAGATGATCTGCGGGGCAAGAGGAGATGGGGGAGGTGATGCATGGAGAGGGTACCCCACAGCCCTGGAGGGCACCCTGTACCCAGGGCAGCCCCGCTCACCTGGAACTCGCTGGAGCTCTGCACGGGCACCACACTGTCCCCCCAGCCCTGGCTCTGGTGCCCAGCCACGCTCCACACCGTCCGCTG